AAGAATCTCCTGGTAATTAAATATGTGAAGCCTCTATATGAGCTGTAGGTGAAACCCATAGAAACACCATTAGCTAGGCATGCAGTTTTTAAGGTGATAATGAGGACAGTGGCAAAGAGGCAGAAACATCAAAGAGGACGGAGCAGGGGGCAGGTGCTTTGTCATGCTTACATGCTATGTGCTGTGAACCAGCTAAATGAACTCAAGTCCTACTATGGGTTTGACTATTTCCAGTCAGACTGACTAGAAATTGGTTAAATAAATGTGATAATTTTCTTTGATTCTACTCAATTCTTTTTCATATTATAGCCTATAAGGAATATAATATTTGACTATTACTGTAGAGTAACTATTATACTCTATAGGTAAACATGGCTCTCAAAAAGAAAAGGAAAGGATGGAGGAGGAGGGCACATTGAATGTTTTTGTGTTGTGTTTGTGTGAAGTAAATAAGATAATAAGCACAATACATCATTCATATGATTGTGTTGTGGCTTTTGAAATTCGCGGATACCAGCCACCATACTGTAGCTAACACTTGTAAAACTCTAAGCTAACCTCAACCAAGAGTGAAAAATGCCCAGTTATTTCCAGTAACAACTCAAGTAGCTAATTAATTACCTAAAGATGACGATGACTTAAAGTCTCATCATAGAGGGTTCTACTTTCGGCTGGCTGATAATGTTAGCTGCTTACTTGGCTTTCAGGCTATTAAACACAATAACATTACAGTCACATTTACGTTTAAATTTGCACCCAGATTCACAAAACCAGTGAGTGAGGGTTCCAAACATTATTCAGACTGGGTATGTACAGTCTGACCTAAATCAAGTCATACTACCTCCTGAGCCAAACAGAGATCAACACATTTATTTCTCCATTACACCGCACACACACACACACACACACACATATATATATATATATATATATATATATTCAGAGTACATGACAAGGAGGAGTGCTTCTGGCTTCCATCACCAGCAGCACAGCAGATCCATCAAGCAGACAGTCAACGCCTGTCACATGCAAAACAAGGACACCACCTTTATGTGTGTGTGTGCATGTGTGAGTGACTCAGATGTCCTCCAGAGTAGACACACCTTGTTAAGGGTATTAGAGATCAAGTAAGTGATTGATTTACATGTCAGGTGACTAAGTGGTGCCTCTGTCCACACCTCAGGTGAATTAAGAAATCTGTGTGTTTGTGTTTGTATGTGTATGTGTGTGTGTGTGTGAGAGAGAGAGAGAGAGAGAGAGAGAGAGAGAGAGAGAGGTGAATAAGGTGAGGGACGAGAAAGAAGGTAGGCATGGATGTGTGCAGGATCCAAGAGACACTAGCACAGATCTGACTTTAGTTTCATATCTTTCCCTCTTAAAGTAAAATCTATCAGCCTCAGAAATTGTCTCTACCACGGAAGATGACTGACATCAATTTGCAGGACGTCTGGTTAATGTAGTCTCATGTGAAAACTTGGGGAAAATGCAGTCTCTGTTACTAATGCTCTCTATGTGAAACTCATAACTGGAAGCAAGTAATTAATTGACTTTAGGCACATATTAATCTATTTAGAATTGAAATAAGGCAAGGTGGGGAAACAAATGCAAAGGTAGCTTGCTGTGTTGTGCTTGTGGGACATGCTTTCCCATTATGTGTCAGCTATATGCGCTATTTTTCAATGCATAAAAATCAGGATAGTTGCCCAGGAAAAACTCATCCTATTTTGTATAACTGTTCTCCAAACTGGTCTAACTGGTCTTCATCAATCTGAAACCAGAATACCATATTTATGTATGTATGTATGTATGTATGTATGTATGACTCATTTTCACTCCTACCACCAAAAAAAAGAAAATTATCTGATGTTTTTATTATATAACATGGGTAGGGTAGGAATTTGGTGTAAAGCACTACTTGGGGCTCCCTGGTAGCTCACCTGGTAGAGCCGTGCCCCATGTACTGAGGCTGAGTCTTTGCTGCAGCAGCCATGCGTTCAGCTCCGATCTGTGGCCCTTTGCTGCCTGTAATCTGCTGCAAGTGAATCCATGCACACTGTAATGATGGTGATACTTCCCTTGTGATATAACTTTGGCTCTGGTCCAGTCAGAGAGAATGTGGGGAAATTACACAAAAGATTTTTTAAAAGCCTAAAAGATTTGGGACTTTTGAGAAAACATTCAGGGCTAGAGCCCATGAATCCACCCCTGACTCCACCCCTGCTGGAAAATAAAATGCATATAAATATATATATAATATAATATAAAATATTTCAGTCACGTTAAGCTTAAAGATCTTCTCAAGACATGTGGACGATTCTGTTTCTTCTCCCTTGTTAAAAACAATCTGAATATATGAAATATTTTAAATTTCAAAAATTCAATAGCTGGTCCATACACGAAACAGTAGACTAAAATATGGTTTTGAAATGATTTTTGGTTACATATAGGCAATACAGTAACAGAATCTTGATTCATATTTAATCAATGCTGCCTAGTTTGACAGTTCGATCTGAGTTTAATCCTTTGAGGTAGGCAGACTCACTCAGAATGACTTGTCAATCACAAGATAGCCACACCCTAAAGAATACCCTGCTTTATAATCTATTTAACTCGAAATGGGACCATCATTTACTAAATTAACATTGTGGTGTATGGAAGAAGACTGAGACCATAAACTCATTAGGAAACTGTGTCCTGAGCTAATAAATCAATTGAGAAGTCAGGTAATTTCTTCATAAGACTGCATGCTATCGGTGTGTTATGAATGCAGTTAAAGACACTTCCATGTTGGCTTCACTTCAGTGACACACTCAAACAGCACAGTGAAGAACAACAAGGTTGGAAGGTTTGAAGTTTTCCTCATTGTCTCATTTTTAATTTTGCAAAGTAACACTGGGAAGTGCAGGAACACACTGTCACAGTGAATTGTATACAAGGCTGTTGGTCAACACAGTGATGTGATAATGCTACCGTGCTAGCCGAGCTGTAGCGTATTCCCAAGGCAGTGTGCTGTCAGGAAGCCTCCATCAGCTCTAACAAATGAGCCCCTCTGCTGGGCAGGTGGCTGCATCTCCTTTACCTCCCTCTTTTCCTTGGTGAGAAATGATCCTGGAAAGGTTTAACACCATCCCCAACCCTGCCCAATACTCACCCTCCTCCTCCTCTTCTCTCCTTTTTCACTTTGGCTGCCCCTGACTTCGTCCGCCTCCATCCAGCGCCCCCACCCCCCATCCTCCATCTCCCAGCATCCATTTGCAAATGATCTGGTTTGTCTGCATATTGTCAGTTGCAGCCGGCCCAGCCATTCATCACCTGTCGCCGACTCCCAGCGCCCTCCACACTTAATTGTTCCCTCTCTGACCTGGAGAATAAAGAATGATGTTCCTTTTCCCTGAGAAGAGAGATCGAGAAAAGAAAGAAAGAAAGAAACAAACAAACAAACAAACAAACAAAGAAAGAAACAAAGAAAGAAGTGGCTATTACATTTAAATCAGATGGAACAATGTTAATCGCTTTTCTTTCTCTCTCCATTTCTTGCTTTTTTTTATACCTCTATCCATCTTTTCTGTGTTTCTAGGTCAGATTACAAGATGACAGAAAGAGGAAAGCAAAGGACAAGGAGAAGAGGAAAGATGTGAAATCCTGGTTCATAACTGCCAGTCTGTTATTGTATGTTCAATATAAAGGTCCAATTGTGTGTGTGTGTGTCTGTGTATGTATGTGTGCAAACAGACACACATTCACACACCTTATCAGCATTTCATTTGCCTCTATGTTCAGCTGGGTTGAACACAGGTCCCTCTATCTTCCTTCTCTTTCGTCTTGTATTGTTCTCCATTCCATCTTCTTTCAGTTCCTCCCTCAGTTACTCTCATCTCTCCATCAAGCTTTGTCTCTCCTTTCTCATTTATTATGTTATAATGTTATTTAATCACATATTCTGCCTTAAAATCTGATTCGGAGCTGAAGTGATTTGTTTCCCTAAATATCAGTATTTAGGTGGAGGTGCTTAATTCTAGTAGATACAATATATGCATCAATTCAATTCAATTTTATTTGTATAGCGCCAATTCATAACAGAAGTTATCTCAGGACACTTTTCAAATAGAGCAGGTCTAGACCGAACTCCTTATAACATTTACAGAGACCCAACAGTATCACTGTGAGCAAGCACTTGGCGACGGGGGCAAGGAAAAACTGCTTTTTAAGCGGCAGAAACCTAGGACAGATCCTTCGGCTCTAGGTGGGTGGTCGATTATATTCAATGCGTAACAATAACAGTACAGAACAACTGATAAACTGTAGATAGATAGATAGATGTGAATGAATGAAAGTCACAGGATTTAGCAGAGGTAGTGCAGATGGAGTCAACTGTACAATGAACCCAAATAGTGAACACAATAACTGCAGGAAGTTTGTGTAAATTGAGTGATTGGAGGAATTTTGAGCAGATTATTTCCTGTGAATATAGTTCAGAGATGTGAATCCTTATATTTTTAGAATCTGTTTAAACACTGTATTACGCATTTTTTAAATACTTAAAGGGGAACTTCGATTTTTACCCTAGTCTTGATCACTAGAGGTCACCGAGTACTGTCGATAGGAAAAAGAACGACCAGAATTGGTTCTAGCAAACTGGAGTTCCTGCAGCTAATGGCCAGAGCTCCTAGTTAGTTATAATACACTTCTTGGGGGCATATCCTAAAGAGTGCCTTTTGCTCCTCTCAACAGACACAAAATGCAGTTAAAATGTCTGTGCAACATGATCAGGGCCCTTACGTGACAACAACATGCCTTTTCAACTCATACGTTGTGTAGAAACCGTTCAAAACAGTAGTCGCCTACCTGTTTTTTTTTATTTCCCCCTCAAAAATGTCCATGTCTTCACACACTACTCTCCGATTTGCACACTTCCTGCAACAATCTCTTCTTCTGCGTTTCCCTCCAACAAGGGAAATCCCTTAAATCCTTAAATCCCGCTAAAGTCCCGTGGGATTTCCTTTGGTAAACGCAGAAGAAGAGATTGTTGCAGGAAGTGTGCAAATCGGAGAGTAGTGTGTGAAGACATGGACATTTTTGAGGGGGAAATAAACTTTTTTTCGTCGCAAAGGCATTATCTCCGTGATCGATTATTCTGGGCTTTTGGTGAAGCGAGCGGTGGAAAAACAGGTAGGCGACAGGACTGTTTTGTACGGTTTCTGCACAACGTATGAGTTGAAAAGGCATGTTGTTGTCATTATCCTGTCAGACTGTTTTTTAATTTCTCTTTAAGATCTTAAATAATAATCTAAGCTTTAAAAATAATTATTCCATTTAGTCTTCTTTAGAGAAATAAATGAAATGCTGAGATATTTTCTGGAAATTGTCGTTCTTTCCAAAATCTGTTTCCCAAATCTTCAGCACAGAGATGGTGAGTGAAGTGTCATCAAGATTAATAGTCACACTAGACAGAATTATAAGAATAAGACATTTGACAAATACTGTAATTTCCCTTTAAGGGTGTAAAATTAATGAAGGCAGTGGAATTGCTGCTGCGTGCCTGTATTAAAATGGTTCACAATTGCATTGCTTGTTCTCAGTCTTGTAGCAGCCATTGTGAACACTGCATCTCATCATCACAGTCAATCACCATTGTCTCTTTTTGTCTCTCCACTTACCTCGCTCTTACCTTCCTCTGCTGTTGTACCTATCATTTTTCCTGTTTAAATGTTAAAGAGTGACCCTTGCAAGCTGCTCACTTCATACCCACTCACACCCACTTGAGGAGTTTGTTCGGGAAGAAGCTGTGCTCCTCCTCCTTTTCCTCCTTTATTTCTTTATTCACTCTGTCTTCTCTGCCATTTGCCTTTTGTCCCTTCATCCCTCATTTCCTCCGTGATGAAGACCACTCACGCCAGGCCAGAGACTCCCCCGTCCCTCTCCCATCCTCTTTAATAATAAATGGATGCTTCCATTATGAGTTGCTCAAAACATTGAATCATAGTCAGTCATGCTCTAGGGAGACAGGGGCAGCTAGGAGGTGGCACTGGGACATTTCTGCTTTTTCTAAAAGCTGCAGTAGGTAACTTTTATGAAAATAACATTGTGTCATATTTGCTAAAATTTTCACTATATCCTGACTGTCGTGCATGAGACAGATAATCTGTGGAAAAAGCCAGTCCCTCTGGCTCGTTGTAGCTCTCCTAACGGCATTTGCAAGAATCCACCAGGCCTGGATGAAAACAAACAATCAGAGCCAAGAAAGATAGAAAGACGCTTTGGGTTGGTGGTTTCAAAATAGTTATTTGTTGAATCTCATTCCCAGGGTCCCGATGAACCTGATTTTTTTTAACAGATTATCTGTGTCATGTACTACTGTCAGGATATAGTAAAGGTTTCAGCAAATATGACAAAAAGAAATTATAAAAATAACCTACTTTAAGAAAGTTAACCATCTCAAGTCATTCTAGTGCCACCAGCATGAACACCTGGGTATTTCTGTAAACTCAGATACCTTTTACATGAAGTTTTTGCAAATTATAGAAACTGTGAGAACATTAGTTAGACAAGTGAATTTGGCGGTCTAAGAAAAGGCCAAGTGAGTGAAAGGCTAAATATGACCAGAGCAATATCACCAACTGTAACACTTCTGTGTTTGTTACAGCCGTGGACAGATGTTAAAATACATGTACAAATGCTATATGTAGCTGTCATTAGCTCCTCTGTGTAAGTACAGTTCTTCAATAGAGCTGGCCATCAGCTGAGGTTTTAACCACATAGGCCATTCTGAAGCAAGTATGTAACTTTGTCTGTTAACCTTTATGCTAACACTTCCTATTTGTGGACAGCTGGGCCTGTCATACAAGCGCTAAGTGATAAACCACAGTCACTGAAAACTTGAAACTCACTACTACAGTACAGTACGTGTGGTTACAGTTAGGAGTGTGCTTACTGCAGGTGTCTTTTCAACCAAAGCTCTATGTTAATGTTCATAAGTGTTGGATTCACCTTTTGCCATAACGGCCTTCCTGAGTGGTTGGTTAACTATACAAGAGACTCTCAGTCTGGTTCAAGGCGTCTGTTTTTTATGTCCTTTCGGGCCAAATACAAAAGTAATATAGTTTAAATGACCAGTAGTGACATTTGGTTTAAGGGTCCTCTCTACTCCTCTACTTTGGAGAATGCATGAAATACTATATGAATCAGAAATTTTCCTTATAGATTTCAGAGCTGAGACCTGATGAATACAGTCTCATTCTTCTCCTCCTACAATGAACAAGCAAGCTCTATTTATCCCTCGCATTTCCAAAAAGAAGTCACAAAGACAAAGTACTTTACAGGAGACAGAAAAAACAAAGGAGGCTTAAAAGAGGAATGTTTATAAAAATTAGGAGGCACCATTCCAAGTTGTAACATCAAGACAAAGCAAAGAAATTGAGTTTTTAAAGATGTGTAATGATTTGGCTTTTGTGAAACTTCATCACCTTTTGTTTTTAGTAGGGCTGGGCAAGTTAACACGTTATTATCGCGTTAACACATTAATTAATTAACGCCGACAACTATTTCATGTCGCATTAACGCAGTTTTCTTTACTATTATTAATATTATTATTTTGAAAGTCCGTTGCTCACTGGCTCTGAATACACATCCAGACAAACCATGGGTCACAGGAGGGGAGTGGAGGGAGGCTTCGGCAGACTACGTTGGACGCAGCGTGTGGGAGAGTATAGATAAACAAAAGCCATACAAGCTAACAAATGCCATAGCGAAGGGGGGCTACAGCTTTCTCTAGGATTGCCATAGGGAACACATGATGATCTGATTCAGTCAGTGAGTGCAGCACACATTTAACTTTTGACCTTACATCCACTTCCTGTTGGCCAGAGCCAACATCTGCACACAATAATTAATGTGCAATAATTACTGTGCCCATGTGCAACTGCTGCTGCTACTATTTGTGTTATTTGTGTTATCTGTTGTTTGTGGATTCTTACTGTTTGTGAATTCTTACTGTTTTTTCTCTTGTACATAGTGTTTTTTTATTATTATTTCTCTATTCCTACTGTTTTTATACTGTTTGTTTTTTCTCTATCCACTTTGCTGCTGAAACATTGAAATGTCCCCATTGTGGGACAAATAAAGGAAAATCTAATCTAATCTAATGTTTATTCATATGATATTAGATCTATGGTACTGAGTACTGTTAGTCATTCATTCATTAGTCAAAGTGTGTGTAACTAGCAGCAGAGTTTGTGACCTCAGCTGAACTGTGCACGTTTCGCTGGAAGAATTGTGTGAACTTTTATTCAGAAGTGTGGTCAGGCTTGTTAACCTCACATCCATCCCTTGAGCTGAATGCCTTGTAATGTATTTAACTATAATAACATTGTAACTGCCCCAGAGCTCTTGGTACAGCTTATGTGAGTGTGTGCATGTGTGTCGGGGGAGTTGTGGCACAAATTAGACCCTAAATTTCAGAGCACACTTGCTGAAAGTCGAACAACCCCAAAGCTCCAGCAAAAGAGAATCTCTGGCAGCACCATTTTTCAGAGGACTTTGGAAATGGATAGATTTGCTGACCAGATGTAATGCGTTCAGTCTTCAAATTCTTCAGAGTTCAGCTTGAAATTATCTCAAACTTTCAATTGTTTCCTCTGACCCGTCTCTTCTTTTGGCCCTTGCCATTTTCTTTCCTCGCATTGTGTGACAGTCTAATTAACCATGCAAAACACAGTGCACTTAGTAATCGACTTATTGGAGGAATTACTTCAGCCCTAATTATCAATAAAATAGGGTTACAAAAGCTGTTCAAAGAGACTCCTTCTACTTTGGCAGATTAGGCTTTAGAAAGGTCTACAATTCAGTGCTTGATTGAAAGTTTACCCATGTATGATTACATAAATGGACTAGGCAAACTACTCATATAAATAACCTAAAAAACAATGAGACAGTACTTGTGTTGAGGGCACAAATAAACAGTAGTCTTAATGCAGTGAACCAAGCAGATGGCAGAGTGTGATAACAATGCAATTTCATACTCACTGCAAAATGCTAATGGTTTGATTGATACTAATGCCCCCCACCCCCCCATCCCCCCACACCACAGTCCGCTTCCCAGCATCACCAGCATGACACCAGTAAACACTTGAATGACAATGGTGCTGTCCCAGCCGGGGCTGCTTCCATTGTATATTAATATGGAAGGCAGTTTATAATTCATGGGGTAGGATTATTTGGGAGTGCTGGTCCCAGGCCTGCTCCCAGCACTGACACAGCGAGTACTAACAATACTGGACATGCCTCGCTCTCCGCTGCCCACCCCCATGCCCATTATAATAATATATTCAAGGATTAAAGGGGTTTTATCTTAGACACCGATGAATTATGAATAGGGCATTTCAAAATTTAATTGCCCCGAATTAAATGATTCAAGATAATGTTTCTTTTATAAATTGGTAATAGGGCCAGGGGGCAAAGAAGGGGAAAAGACATTAAATAAACCTTTTTCCCCAACAAAAGGAGAAGAGAGAGGAATAATAGACGGATGGTGACCTCATGTCTCTGGAGCAGGAGATGGCTTGATCCTAAGATAGAAGGTTGAAAAACAACACTACACACAGGAGGTAAGAAATGAGATGAAGTTTAATCTTTGACAGCTTCAGGACAAGTTTCCTTTTCAACTCCATATTCCGGCACTTTTTACACTGACAGAAACCGAGAACTACTGCATACGGTGAAATGGTGAGGAGCCCAGTTCAGATGGATAACAATGTACCCACATAGGACTTGGTGAGTCAATGGCTCACACACACACACACACACACACACACACACACACACACACACACACACACACACACACACACACACACACACACACACACACACACACACACACACACACACACACACACACACACACACACACACACACACTATAGTAAAGGGGTCTTTAGAAAATCAGCAAACAGACTCAGTGTTACCAATAAGGTTGGTAAAAGTACATGATTGCATAAAAAATACAGTTTTGTGATGGAAAAGTGCTCAAGCCACAGAAGTGAGAGATCAAACGTGATACAAAACAAGAGCATCATGGGGTGGTCATAAACATCTGACCTAAGGTGAACAGAACTTAGTTTTGATCATATTAAGTAATGCAACATTGCCTTCCCTTCACACTTGCATGAGCTGACAACACGGCAAGGTTAGCTAAATCTTCCTAACTTTACAGGTTAACTAGGAGTGAGCCCAACTCACATTTTATGTGGTCGATTCCACATCACCAAGTCAAAGCAGATATTTACACCAATCAGCCATAACATTATGGCACCCTGGTTCACCACTTTAGATAGGTACTGACCACTCCAGACCGTGAACACCCCACAAGAGCTTTTATTTGCAGGTTTGGAGATGCTCTGACCTAGTCTAGTTTTTTTTTTAAAGTTTTTATTGCCTTTATTTGATAGGGACAGCTGAAGATAGACAGGAAAGGGGGGTAGAGAGAGAGGGGATGACACGCAGCAAAGGGCCGCCGGTTGGATTCAAACCCTGGGCCACTGCAGCAAGGACTCAGCTTCAGTACATGGGTCACCAGCTCTACTGACTGAGCTAACCAGGTGCCCACAATTTGGCCCTTGTTAAAGTCACTCAAATTATTCCCATTTTTCCTGCTTCTAACACATCAACTTGAGGACAAAATGTTCACTTGCTGCCTAATATATCCCACATGCCATGATAACCAGTATTATTCCCTTTACCAGTCAGTGTTCATAATGTTTTCCTGATTGGTGTATATCCATTTATAAAGGAGGTAAAGTATGCTTAGTTCAAAGGTAAAATAAAAACTGAATCATACTCTGCTAAAGCTACTCATATTTTAACCAGCATTATTTTCTGTAGGAGTAGGAGTAGGAGAGAGCAGGGACAGTTATAAGAACCAACTCAGACAATATCAGACCACAGGGTGGTCACCGGAACAGGCACTACCAAGCAGAGTTCATGGACCAGATGCCCCAAGAATATGGAGCCAGAACAGTCTCATAAATAAATGCACACAGAAATGAATAAATGCACGAAAAAGGACTCACAAATGTATTTGGGGAGTTGTATATATATATATGACTCGATACACAAATGCATTTTCAATGCACACACAAATATGCTTCAATCCATATAAGTAAGAAAAAAAATTCACATATAAAAATAAGATTTGTAAACACAATTGTGATGCGCACACACACACATATTTCTTGTTTCAAATATATGCAATAATAATTCACAAATGTACAAATCGTCAGGTATTTGCAATTTTCATCAAATACATATTTGGAAGTTGTTACATTGATATATGAATTGTCAAACGCGCATTTGTCTCAGTGCTTTTAATTTGTAAACCTCCCTGCATTTGTGTGTGGAATTTTGAGACTTTTCTAGCGTGACTCCGATACACAAATGCATTTTTTTCTACAAGGTCTGCAGCCAATCGGATGTCTCACTCCTTTTACAGCCAATCACATGAGTGCCTCACGAACCAAGGAAACATGGCGTCTGGAAGCGGCAACCACGACAATTTAAGTGTAAGTGAAACAAAACGTTATGTTTCACTTACACTTTAATCGTTGCCGTTGCTGCTTCCAGATGCCATGTTTCCTTTTTTCGCTGCCGTCTCCTCTGGCCCATCTAGATCATGATATAGATCCATATCATTCATTCATATCATCATCAGTTAAAAACCCCTCGTGGGGAGGCACTCATGTGATTGGCTGTAAATGAGTGAGACATCTGACTGGCTCTACCCCCTTGTAGAAAAATTTTTCAAAAGTCTCAAAATTCCACACACAAATGCAGGGAGGTTTACAAATTAAAAGCACTGAGACAAATGCGCGTTTGACAATTCATATATCAATGTAACAACTTCCAAATATGTATTTGATGAAAATTGCAAATACCTGACGATTTGTACATTTGTGAATTATTATTGCATATATTTGAAACAAGAAATATGTGTGTGTGTGCGCATCACAATTGTGTTTACAAATCTTATTTTTATATGTGAATTTTTTTTCTTACTTATATGGATTGAAGCATATTTGTGTGTGCATTGAAAATGCATTTGTGTATCGAGTCATATAGATATACAACTCACCAAATACATTTGTGAGTCCTTTTTCGTACATTTATTAATTTCTGTGTGCATTTATCCATTATGAGACTGTTCTGGCTCCATACCCAGAACCCTTTTCCACCAAATTAGTTCTGGTTCTTGAACCGATTCCATTCAAGACTCTTGGTGCTATCTTGAGTGGAAGAACCTAGAATAAGACACACACTTTGGTTGCCATGAAAACATGCTATTTTTTTGTTCCAGCTGGGAACAAATTTTTCAGGTTTCTGAACTAATTTATTCTTGGTGTAAATGCTCTTAACAGGGCAAAAATAGGTGCTTGAACCAGAACGAAGCTGGTTCCCTATTGGTGGCTAAAGCTAAGGCTATTTGTTTACAGATTGGCACTGAGACAACTAATCAACATAAAATTAATTGTCAATTGTTTAAGCAATGTCAAATCTTCACTGGTTTGAATAAATGTAAATATTTGCTATCTTTTAGGTTTTGAACTGAAAAAAACCTTGACCTCTGGAAAACGGATGGATTTGGTAACTATTTTCTGATATTTATGTACCAAACAATTAATTGAGAGAATAACTGGCAGATAATTGATAATGAAAATAACTGTTACTTGCAGCCCTTAACAGGGGTGCATGATATGGATTTTTCTTCCCAGCCGATATTATACAGCAATTCGCTGCTTTTCATGGCCAATACCAGTAAGAAATTTCACAATTGTTTATTATAAAAATAAGTTCGTAACCTAGTAGTTTTAGTTTTCGTTACACCTGAGGGTAAGAAAGGTTAAGATGTAGTCAGCCAAAATGGATGATTTCATATTCCATAGCTCTGTTCTAACCAAATCTATCACCACTATTGTTAACACAACAATTCAAATCGACTCTTCAAGTGTTAGTTCCTTTACATTTTTTAGTTAATTAAAAAAACTTCACAAACTTTCATAGAACATAAAGTCTGTCAACCGTTTTGCATAAAAATTCAAAATAAAATATCATACCTTATACCAATACCAACCTATAATATATCGGCTTTAATTTAATTATCTCGAATTCATAATGATAACTTCCCATTATCGGCCAATAATTTATATGTCCCGATAATTATCGTGGATCCCTAACCCTTAGGGCTGCACAATACATCGAAACATTAGCAAAATGGCCATGCTTAACATGCAAGTCACAGAACCTTCTTCAAACAATACACCAACAATGAGTCCGTCCACTGAATGTGATTCTGTATATTGACAGCAGTAGTGCATGGTTCACTCTATTCACTGGATAAGGTTTACCAGAGTACAGAAACTTTAATGCTGCAGTAGGTAACTTTTTTTTTTTTAAATAACTTCATATTTGCTGAACCTCTCACTATATTCTGACAGTAGTACATGACACTACTGGGCCTGAATGAAAACAACCAATCATAGCCAAGAAAGATAGTTGATTGTTGAGTCTCATTCCCAGGTTATCAAATATCGATGCTGGGAATGAGATTCAACAATCAACTATCTTTAAGCCACCAACCAAAAGTGTCTTTCTATCTTTCTTGGCTCTGATTAGTTGATTCTTTCAAATGCCATTAGGAGCACTAGGAGGAGCCAGAAGAACCTGATTTTTTCACAGATTAACTGTCTGTCAGGATATAGTATAAAGTTCCAACAAAATTGACAAAAAATATTTGATTAAAGTTACCTATTGCAGCTTTAATCTTACAACCACCAAACTATCAGAGCAAAAATGACACTCCAGTACAGCAATAGAGAGCATTAAAGTTAATTGGTAACTTTGGGAACAGCAGTTTGTCAATATAATTAACAAACTAACTAGAGTAATTAACAAAAGGTATACCTGCTATTGTTTTGTAGGGCTTCAACCACATCTCACGGTCTTCACCAGTAAATGGTTTGACCTACAGTAAATATGGTGCTTTAGGTGGTAGTATATGATGGAGATCAGTCTAGGGTCTATCTAGAGCCAGTGTTTGGTTTTTCCGTTCTAGGCTACTGTAGAAACATGGAGGTTTAACATGGCAGCCTCCATGGAAAAGGACCCGCTCCCTCTGTAGATAAAAACATCTCATTCTAATGTAACAAACATAACGATTCTTATTTTCAGGTGATTATTACACTAATGAAAACATACCTATTCATATTATATTCCATTTATGGCAATACATCTTCCTAAATATTAAAAAAAAAAAAAAAAAATTTGAAGGACTGCATCATTTTGACAGATCAACAATGGCCACTAGGTGAGTGTGTTAATGTTAATTGGGTATTTTCTAGTAGCCTTGTCTTCATCAATGACCTCATTGTCTAGCTGGCTTTAGCCATCACATTGCTATTGGTATCCGAAGTTTCTCTAGAAAGCCCATGCTCTTTTCTCAATGTGCCCTAATAATGTATGAACTGTAAGTTCTATATAATAAATGTTACTGTGATTGAGTTGTTTGTGAAAATTAAATTCTATTAAATGTCTCATTATGATAAAAAAATTAACAATAAATGACGCGTTATGACGGAATTTTTACAATCCTGAATGGGGAGAGGACTGGGAAGGTCGAGAAGACATCCAATGCCAAAAACAAGCATCTCTCCCAATATACAACTAGGACTACACTAAAATTAGCTAATCAAATATGGCTACATTCACACTGCAGACACTAGTGACCCAAATTAGATTTTTTCCTTTCTCATGTGAGACTCAGATCTGTTTTTTCATGACAGTGTGAACAGCAGAAACGTATTAATTCTGATTCATATGTGGTGGTTGCAATACGACCTTAGTCTGATATCAGAATTCATGTGACTTTTACGTCACTCAATATGTTTCTATATCATGCGGGTCACTTCAGTACCGTGACGTGTTCACACTGGAATCAGATACCAGCCACATTCAAAAAATATTGGGCATATATATTCTGATGAAAAAACTAGTAATTGGACACTGACTTTATTATTTTGTCAAACTTTATCAATCATCATTATCGTGTACATAAAAGTGAGCCACACACAACAGCACTATAAACAAAATTGTGACCCTAAATTACTGTAGTACAGTTGAAGCACAAAGTCCCTCATCCACCTCATCACCCATAACTATACACAATGGGTGAGAAATTGAGGTGAGACAGTGGTTTAAACAGGAAGTACGCAATAAGGTAAAATGTTCTAACTTGCCAAAATTGCAAATTTTTCCCCTACGCTGCATTGACTGTCAGGGATTTAGTCAGTATCAGTTATTTGTATCAGTATACAGAGTCAGAATTGTTGGGGCCACCCTTACAGTTAATACAAACTGCTTCCTTGTTTTTCATACAAATAGTGTCATGTTGAAATTGCCTAATTTTAAGGCAGTCAAACAAAAAGTTTCCAACAGGACAACGTCGTCATCATCATCATGTCTCACTAAGTCCTCAGTGCTGTATATGGCTTTCTCAGGGGCAATAACAGTGATCACCGGGTCACTAATCACTCCCTTTTGGCGGCATATATGCGTATATTAACTGCAATGTAAATTGAGTACATTCATAAAGATACTTTTTAAACACAAAATAAACATGTTTCTTAATGAGGGCTGCAACTACGTAATGATAGAAAATGCACGTTTTGATGGTAAAAATAAAAAAGGTTTCATTGAGAAAGCAAAACCATTTTCCATTTTGGCCTGTCATACTGAACCACAACAGTTACAATCAATTTAAAACAAGCATTCTCAAAGGCTAATGAGAGCATATTATGTTTTTTATTAATTATTTAGCTTGAGATGAGGGAAACAGGGAATAGAGGGCAGTGGTGGTCTTAACTCAGTAGCACACCACAAAATGCACTAGAGAATACGATTGTCAACTCAAAACATACTGGACATATATGGAGACAAACTGCAGTAATAAACCAACCAATTCAAAAGAGTAGAGGGATTTTGGCTTTGCGGAAATAACATTCACCTCACTCCATTTAGTTTTTTTTCTCTTCACCTAACAATTTGAACCAGTTTGTGGTGTCCCCTCTTGCTTTTTTCCAATGCTGTAGGCCTCAAAATGTTTCAATGTAAACCTACATTTCAAACTTAAAACAAAAGCTAATTTTAATCAAATCCTGTTATGAAGAGAAGGCTGAGGGACACACTGGCAGCATTTTTGTCCAGCAGTGGACAACTTAGAAAAGCCACACTGGATGAAGATACAGTCGGAAAAGTTCAGTGACTTTGAATTCAATTTTTTTCAGCTTCTATATTTTCTTAATTTAAGAGACACAAAAATTAATAAATAGCATAGGCTGTGGCAGTAAGTGGGTTATGCTTATTCACTGTTCTCTTTGGGATTATCTTCAGTTCGACTGGCACTTAGATTAGCCACTTCCCTTTGGCCCTTCTGGGTTGAACTTCCAATCAAGTCCAAAGCTGAATTAACATCTCTGCTGACCTTCTCCTGATCCTCCTCCTGTCCATTAGCTTCCATACCCATCTCATACATTGCCTTCTCCCCATTCAGGAGGTGACTGTGCTCCTCCACCTGGATCTCCTGGCCTTCTTCTACCTCCTCCAGCTTGCGCAGGATAATAGGAAGCTTTGCATCTGCGTCAGTATTCTCCAGCAAAGCGATATCGTTTTCCTCGTAGAGAGGCAACGGAGCGCCCTCTTCCAGCTTCTTCTGGAAGTGCAGACGTTTAGCCCGTCCGCTGGCCGACGCCTTCTCCAGGATCTGCTTTTCGGCCAGGCGGAGCTGGATCGCCACGCGAGAATGGAGAGATAGATCAGGTTTCTCAAGCATGGAGCGGTCCTCCTACAAGAGACCAGGAGTTAAGAGGTAAAAAAAGCATAAGAAAGAGGGAGGGGAAGATGACAAAGAGTTATAGGGAGAAGGTAATATATAACAAATATCACACATTTAATTCCTAAGTACTTGTTGGATCTTCAAAAAGCTCCCCCTGCATCTGTCTGACTTTGGAATTGGGAGAGGCTGCATTCTAACTTTCTGGAATTGAAAATCCACACATCATGCTTTGGATTTTGGGAGAGGTATAAACACATTTCGATTGTTTTGATGACCCTAGGTTAGAAATAGTTTGTTTGCACCACACCGAACCCTCAACACCCCTGCAGTCCGACACCCCACATTTCAACTTTCAACATAACTTCCAGCTGACTGACCTCTGATGTGGTCTTGTAGGTCTTGAGCAGCAGAGCAGCTCGGGTCTCTAGGAAAGTCCACAACTTGATCTCATTCTCCCAGCTGACAGGGAACTCGCTGTTGCCCAGGGTGAAGATCTTATTGATGGCACGATCTCCGAGCAGATAGTCTTTCAGTTCCTCTGAAATCAAACTAAATGTTAGCATCTCTTCAAAAGAAACCAAAGCCCAACGGCAAGAGAACTGTTAGGGAAAGTTAGAAGTGAAGTGAAGTGAAGTGGAAGTTGACTATAAAAGGTAGGAATGGGAAGAGATAAGATTTTGTTGATACTGATGCCGTTATCAATTCTGCTTATTAGTAGTTTCAGTCTCTGTGAAATGAGGCTATGTTTTGGACTCTTCATCCCTCTCCCCCATGACTCCTTCTTGTCTTCAGGTTTCCAGGAGCGTAGATGCACAATGTCATAGTTTTACAATGCCTAACTGTCAGAAAAACATACTGGCATTAATAAAAGTAATTGATAACATTGGAGGCATATGATTACAATTTTTGGACAGGAACCGGATCTTGATTCCCATCCCTAATAAAAGGTAATCGGTTTGCACATGTGAATCTATAGGAGGCCAGTTAGTTTTGCCTTGCCATTAAAAAAACAGAAAAAACATTTTTAGATGCACACTTGCTATAGAAATGGGATCCCACCAGGACACAAGAAATAATTTTTCCCGGTCCTGGATCTTTGTTTCTAGGAACGAAAAGTCAAATACGATCATTTTCATGAGAGAAAGACACAGAGGTCAGGATCTGGTTCCTGAATTTTGTCCAAACCATTTTCCCCCGCTACTGTTAAAAATTTCATCAAATTGCTAAGATAGCATATCTGGACCAATCCAGATAAAAGTATTTTTTAGGATATCTGAATATGGTTTTGAAATTAGTCTTTAAAGTCAATTTTGCATAAACAGTCTGTCAGTCCGCCTGATTGGATGCTAGGCCCAAGCTTTGCTGGGCAGTCCTGTGATATTCTGCCACTAGGGGGCACAACAAATGCGAAAACTTTATATCTCAAAATCAGCTGCATGGATTTATATGAAATTTGATTCGCTAGATCTTTAATCTCTGCATGAAATATGGTATTGATTGATTAAAGTGAGCGTGACTTAATTACAACAAATCAAAATATTTTGACATTTCAATAATTTCACAAATCCTGTCCTACATAACTGAATGTTGTTTCCTCACATGCACTCAATTATGACAAAAGTTTGCCTCACTGCAACCTATTCAGATGTCCATCACAAAATCAGTTACTCACCCTAATCTACTGTATTTTCTTAGTCGACTACTAGTCATTAGTGTATACATAGGAAGTGCTGTTTTCTTGTTACCTTAGAATTGAATTAACAGTCAGCAGATAAAATAGATCCTCCTAAATGTTACACACTGGACCTTTAAAATTCTGTCAAAACATGTTAAAAAAAAAAGTGGTAGTCTTCATTCTGGACTATTAATCCTGCAGCCTTTAACTGAGGTCTGAGTTGCATGGGAAGGTGAAAGAGGCGAATTGCAGTACCCCAGCTGTGTGCGCACACTATTCCATCATGTCACATCTGTTGAGAAATGTCAGCACACATGTGCGTGCAGGAGATGATACCCCTCACCACATACACATCCAAAGGCTTTGGAGCCATTTTAAAAATTAACATGTAGCAAAAAATTTGAATAATATATCAAGCGGGGTCCTGAAGAGGAGTCCTGTGACAGAGGTGGATATGGCCTTGTGTGGTTGGGGATTTATGACACTGGTGCCATTCTGCATACATGCCGATGAATATTGCAAACCCCCTGGTGGATTGCTCCTTCCACACATCTGCTGGAATGCCTTGATCAATTAACCAGTTCAGGAATGGACAGACCTTGCTCTTTCCCTCTCTTTCCCCTCTACCTCCACCTCTTTTCCATCTCTTCCCCTCCGCTGATGTGTAGAGGAAGCAGTCGCTTGACGATGGTCTCGGAGGACAATCGGAAACTGTGGCGTGGTTTGTTTTAGAGTACGCTACCATAGAGGTTCCACAGAGAATGTCCTGCTTGCTGGTATTTCACTGTGTGTGTGTGTGTGTGTGTGTCTGTCTGTCAGTGTCTTACCCTCTGTCATGCAGAAGACTCTGAGGAAGGCTAGGAGCTGGGCTGAAATGGGGGGTTCATTACAGTGAAGAGCAAAGATACAGGACCTGAAAACACAAACATACAGACCAACATATTAGTAATAAGTTGATAAACATGATAAATACCTCAGCATACTTGTGGATTGTTTACATATAAAACATGTCGAATTGTGTTATAAGAGACTCGTCATACAGAACAACAAGCCTGTAATAAAAATTCTCACACCTCAGATCACATCTGTGTCAGTACAGAGCTGGAGTTAGGCACATGGTTAGCTTATTTTAGCTTAAAGTAGTAGGAAACAGCCGACCTGGCTCTGTCCACTTTGAACAGAGCAAGGCTAGCTCTTTCCTTATGCTTATAGTCTTCATGGTAAGCCAACCATGTCCTGACTCTCGCTCTGAACTTCATGGACAGACATGGGATGGACAATCTGTTCATCTGACACTCAGAAAGAACGCATGTAAGCGTATTTCTAAATAGCCAGACTGATACATGACATAAAAACAAATGAGATAATTTATTAGCCAGTTTTCTTTTTACCTAATGCATAACAAAAACAGATACATACAGTTAGACTTCACATTTATCAATTATCAATTTTAGCACTGCCAAAAATATAACAATACATTTAGAATAGAAAGATTGATTGAAAATTTTTATTCAATAATAACAATAACAATGAACTATTATCAGAATGATACTGGTATTAATGAACTACTATCATTAATACAATAATTATAATTACTGAATAAAAACACTTAGAACAAAATGTTATTATTGCTGCACTGCTGATGACAGGCTCTGATAACTTATAAACTGTAGAACATTTTAAACTTTATATGCTAAAATATACATTTAATTCTATATTTATTCAATGTGTAAAGCCTTTTCTTAATGATCACAATGATCCACTGTTGTAATTTAAAAAAAAAATGTAATCAAAAAAGATTTTGCATTTGTTTCCTTTAAGTATAAACAAGCTGTAAGTGTCTGTTTGTGAAGGATAATGTTAATTTAAAAAAGAAAAAGAGAAATAAACAATGGTTTCTGGTGTGCGCTTTACAATTAAGCCAAGAAAAAACATAATTAATAATTATAAGATTAATTAATAAGAGAAACTGGACAGGAAAAGAAGAAGCAAATCAAAAGTTTTGAGCTCTTGCACATGAATAAGCTGAATTTTCACAATAGCAACTATGAAATGTCCAACCTCTGCCTGCATGTCATCTGATTCTATCACATCTAATTCTCGTCTTTCTTGTGTCTCTCTCAAAACATTATATTAATGTTGAAGTTTGGAGTATTTCTCAGGCTGGTGAATGTCAGCAGTGTGACAGGAAATATATGAAACAAGTATGATCCAGGACTCAGCAAAATCCATTCCGCATCATAACATTACACACTAAGGTAATTTGGGATAGGACAATATTTCCCCCCTATTTCAGCAAAGTGATCGATGTGGCGATCCGTAGCACAGGGTCGACATTATTACACTGCACAAACACATTACAAGCGTCTCCCTACTCCTCCTATTAAATTATCCCTCTGTCCACTGCTTCAGCAATACAGCATCTAGTTAAGGGAAGTTAACTCTTTGTTGAAAAAGCTATATATGCTCCCTTTAGGCAACATTATTAGGAATCACTCCATTAACTTTCACTGTTATGCAGATGATACGCAGTTATATCTATCGATCAAGCCCGATGAAATTGATCAATTATCTAAATTACAAACATGTCTTAAGGACATAAAATCCTGGATGAGCTGCAATTTTCTGATGTTAAACTTAGAAAAAAACAAAATTCTTGTTCTTGGCCCCAAAAACCTTAGAGACTCACTGTCTAAAGATATAGTTACTCTAGATGGCATTACCTTGGCCTCTAGCACCACTGTCAGGAATCTTGGAGTTATCTTTGATCAGGATTTGTCATTTAACCCACACATAAAGCAAACCTCCAGGACTGCCTTCTTTCATTTACGTAATATTAAAGAAATTAGACACATCCTATCACAGACGGATGCAGAAAAACTAATCCATGCATTTGTTACTTCAAGGCTGGATTACTGCAACTATTTATTATCAGGTTGCCCCAATAAGTCCATTAAAACGCTCCAATTAATTCAGAAAGCTGCAGCACGAGTACTGACAGGAACTAGAAAAAGAGATCACATCTCTCCTGTACTAGCTTCTCTGCACTGGCTCCCTGTAAAATGTAGAATATAATTTAAAATCCTCCTCCTCACCTATAAAGGTCTTCATGGTCAGGCCCCTTCATATCTTAAAAAGCTCATAGTACCCTATTACCCCTCTAGAACACTACGTTCTCTGAATGCTGGGCTACTTGTGGTTCCTATAGTCTCTACAAGTAGAACAGGAGCCAGAGCCTTCAGTTACCAAGCTCCTCTCCAATGGAACCAGCTTCCAGTTGTGGTTCGGTAGGCAGACACCCTCCCCACATTCAAGAGTAGGCTTAAGACGTTCCTCTTTGATAAAGCTTATAGTTAGGGCTGGATCAGGTGAGTCCTGAACCATCCCTTAGTTATGCTGCTATAGGCCTAGACTATCGGGGGATTTCCCATGGTGCACTGAGCTCCTCTCTTCCTCTCTCTTTCTGCACTCATTCATGTCCCATTAATACATGTTACCAACTTCACTTCTTCCCCGGAGTTCTTGTGCTTTCTCGTCTTGCAGGTTCCTATCGATCCTGGTGGAGCCTCCTGCCATGGTCCTGCTAGATTGCCATTGCCAATACTGGTCTGTCTGTCTGTCTGTCTGTCTGTCTCCCTCTCTCTCTCTCTCTGTCTCTCTCTCTGTCTCTCTCACCCCAACTGGTCGAGACAGACAACCACCCACCTAGAGCCGAAGGATCTGTCCTAGGTTTCTGCCTTTTAACAGGCAGTTTTTCCGTGCCCTTGTCGCCAAGTGCTTGCTCATGGTGGTACTGTTGGGTCTCTGTAAATAATGTTATAAAGAGTTCGGTCTAGACCTGCTCTATTTGAAAAGTGTCCTGAGATAACTTCTGTTATGAATTGGCGCTATACAAATAAAACTGAATTGAATTGAATTGAATAGAAGAGGACCGATCTTTCTGTGGATAAAAATGTCTCATTCTAATGGCGTGTTACACTGACATATAAAAGATGGACTTTGCATCTTTACTTCCTCCCACTGTTTACAGCCACTGCCATCACTTTTGGACAGCTATCTATCTTTATATATGTAGATGGTTTGTTTACACAGAAAGTTAAATTTTTTATGCGATGAGATTACATAGAAAGTCAAAGCAAAGACGCGAATAGACACGTTTCATTGACGCTGGGGAAAATGCGCAAAATATGCACGAGTTGCATGGGTTGAAAGTGTGTGCGTATCAAAGAGCTTTTAAAGTGTTGTGTGGGAAGGAACAGACAGACAGAGTTGCTGCTGGCCCACATACAGCAGCTTGAACCCGGGGAGCTCTGCAGGAGGGAGCAGAGGACAGAGCCGGAGCTTCTGGAGGAATAGACACCCGTACTCACACCAGATTCTGCTATGAAGAGGAGAGCTCGGAGTTGATTTTTAAAACGTCTGGGATTAAAAAGTAAAATTATATTCATCGTCTCTTCCCAATGTGTCTGCTGCGAGCCACGACGGTGCCACGCCCACTTGTAGCTGTTTATTTGCACCACCTAGTAAGTGCTGAAAATATGTGTGTATTTCAGCTCTCGGTTTAACTTTTACCATGAACTAAGTTAGCATAGCCCCGCTCGATTTGAGCATTTTAAAAGTTGTTTGCTTGTCGTTGTGCAGACAGACCTGACAAAGTATGAATTTACACATTTTAAAAATCAGCATCATGATGTAGTTATTTCAGCATCTTTTGAATCCATTTATTCGGGGCTCATACCCCCATGGTAAACCAGATTAAAAGGGTGAAACTTCGCAACAAAATGAAAACACAGAAATTCTTGTTTTTCAGGTGATTATACACTAATGAAAACATTAATTACAAATGATGAATGAATAGTCAAATGTAATCATTTGATTCCAGTGTTAAATGAATAAAGTTCAGTGATTTCCACATTGTAAAAAGAGAGTCTGATGATAGTGCTCAACATCTCAGCGAGGCCTGATGCTGTATCTGATGCGGTTTCCTTTAAAAATTATCTACAAACATATCTGTCAGTTTAATAGTGCACTGCGGCAACAACAGGGATTGTTTCATTTTATTTCCACTGTTGAGATTTAGACTGTCATCAATAAGAGATTAAAAGGCGTCTGATTAAAAATGCCAAGCAGAGAATGCTGCATAAAATTAGGGGCTAATGATAAAATGATTAAGCTTCTTGGTGATGAAAGTGTTGGGTCGAATGGTAATTTGATACTTGGTAGGGTGGGGTGGGAGAGAGAGAGAGAGAGAGAGAGAGAGAGAGAGAGAGAGAGAGAGAGAGAGAGATCCAAAGTCCGCTAGAGAAGGCTGCATGAGAAATGTGCTCCTGAATTCATCTCAAACATGGACCTAAACAGTGGGACATTTTGCAAAAAAACTATTGAATTTTCTTCAGAAAGGACTCTAAAGAAAAGGTAAATACTTTATCAGCAAAACAGAAGAAAGAAAATACCATCTTTGGATATATTTTTTAAATGAAAACAACCAGCCGTCTGTCAAAAGCTAGCTGGCAACTGTGTATCAACTGCTGTAAGCTACCACCTGCTACAGTGTAGAACATTTCTAAGGAGGAACCAGACTAAACAAGATAACAGAAGAGGTGTTTTATGAAGATAAGGAGGAGAAGAAAAGAACAAACCAAAAATCATAACATTAATAACTGTGTTTAAAGGCTAAAAAAGCTACCAACAGTAAAGAGTTAGCCCACTAGTAAACAAACAAAATGGTCGCCATGGAAACAGCCAAGCAGAGAACAGAGAGCAGGGAGGTTAAATACCATGCTCTCTGTAAGAGTGCAGCAGCCAGGGAGAAGTTTAAGGAAAAGACACTTCAAGAGAACAAAGAAGTCTTGGTCACGGACTATGCACTACACAAAGCACTGCATGAAAAGCGGGATTTTCCCCAGTAAGCGG